AAAAATCTATGTCTCCAGAGTACATAGCTATTGTTAGGACCTTTTGGAAGCCTTAATTTAATATAGAGAATTTGTTTGATTCTACAATCTGTAACATATTGAAAACAAAAACTTGATTTTCATATTCAAAAACGTTCTTGGATAGTTTTGTTAAACAGAATTTGGTAATTTGGGGGTGGAGTACTTCCGATACCAATCCACATGCATTTCTGTACAGTTTAACCTTTAAACAAGACGTTCCTGCCATTAATGAGCACTGACAAGCTGCCAGCTGTTTGTGGGGCGACTCTTCAGCACAGTTCTTCACCCTTTACCAGATCGCTAAAGCAGAGCTCTTGAAAACCCTGCTCTAGTCCCTTATCTAAATTCTAAGTAATCTCATCTAGTCTCAACCACTTTAAATACCATCTATAATCTGATGACCTCCAAATTTATGTTTGGTTTTGAACAGTCCTGATTTAACCAACTAGTTCCTTAATATCTTCAGCTGAATAAACAATAGGCATCTCAAACTTAACATGCCCAAAGCATAGCTCTTGGTTCCATATCCCCAGATAAGCCATTCTCTCAATCTTCTCCATCTCGATAAAGCATCTACCCAATTGTTCAAACCCAAGACCCAGGAGTCGGCCTTTATTCTGTCCTCTCCCTCTTCCCCCACATCCAATCCATTGCAAGTCCTGCTGACTCTACTTCTGACTCCTCCTCTCACCTAGACTACTGTAACAGGCTTCTAACTTATCTCCTTGCTTCCACTCTTGCTCTTCTAAACCATTATTAAAGAGTGATCCTAAAAGGCCCATTCCTAAAAGAATATTAGGGCATGCTGTACAGAATAATTCAATTGGTGGGCTCTACACACACACACACACACGTATATATATTTTTTAAATTTATATTATTTTCATTACATATTTACCCACATGTGTAAGTCATACGGTCATATGCTACAACAACCAGAGGCTTCCCTAACACCCAAGTGTCCCTGGGTCCAAGGAGGATGCTTCGTTGCTTTCCCAAGAGCAGAGCCATTGTGCTAGCACTTCCCTTTTTTAGTGTGCTAGGGCTGCTGTAACAGAGTACCACAAACTGGATGGCTTAAAACAACAGAAATCTTGAAGTCTGAAATCCAGGTGTTGGCAGCCTGCGGGGGAAGGACCCTTCCTCGACTCTTCTGAGCTTCCAGTGGTTGGCTGTCAGTCTCTGGCATTCCTTGGCTTACAGACACATCACTCCAAACCTCTGTCTTCACATGGCCTTCTTCCCTCTGTGTGTCCAAATCTCTTCCTTTAACAAGTCGAATTGGATACCAGTCAAATTGGATTAAAGCCTACGCTAATGACCTCATTTCACCTTGAAAAGACCCTATTTCCAAATAAGGTCACTAAGAGTGAGGACTTCAACATATATATCTTAGGAAGGCATGTTTCAACCCATGACATGTGCCCCAAAATCTTTAAGAAATTTCCTACCACTAAAACAAAACAAAAAAGGGCTTCCTATTGGCTAAGAATAGCATCCAAACTCTTCAGCTTGTTCTAATGGGTCTACCCACTTTCCAGCCTCTTTTTACCACGTTCTCTCAGATTTCGGTGGCTTTTCTGTTCTTTAACCATGACTAGATCTCAAGCCCTTTGCACGTGCTATTTCTTCTGATGACTGTTCTCCTAATTCTGCAAAAGGCGGGTTCCTGCTCATCAGTCAGGTCTCTGTTTAAATGTACCTACTCTGAGAGGCCTTTGCAGATCTTCCTATCTAAGGCAAACACCGTCCTCCAACCAACCCTCACCACATTCCCTTGCCCCATGCTTTCCTTCACCAAACTTGCATTTTTTAAAAAATTGTTTTGGTTACTTATCGTTTACTAATTTATTATTTATTATCTATTATTTCCCTCCTGTGGAATTTAAACTCCACCAGGACAGCGGTTCTGTCTTATCCACTGCAGTATCCGAAGCACAAAGAATAGTGCGGGCACATGCCAGCATTCCACACACACGTGCGGAGTGCATGAATGCGCAGAATCTCAGCAGGCGAACACTGAGAATGAAAGAATGAGACCAAAGAGCCTTGTCTTTTCTTCGCAGCCAGAGGCAGTATATTCCTTAATTCAGAAAGGATGTCTGCAACAGTATTGATCAACCGGTACCATTAATAATAATGTGATATCCTTTGTGTGTGAAGATCGCAGTAATAATTCACCATCACTAAGGCACATGTTTTAAATTGCTTTTCCAGAAGCGGGTGAAGGGATATTTGCTGAGTCATTACCCTGTCTTGCCCAGTCGTCCTTGTGATCATCTACATGCTTTTATGTGATGTCTGACCTGGGTCTTGAACATGGTCTGGAGTTGTGAAAAGAGCTTTCCTTTGTGTGAAACCAGCTCACCTAACAGGCCTCTCAAACCCACAACCTTGGCCTCATTAACACCATGTTGTAACCAACAGAGTTAACCGGCCACAGGCATCATCATAATAGCTGCAGACAAATGAATCCATGTCAAACATTTCCTCAGATGTGTAATGCTGCTGCTGTGTTTTCTACTCTGGGGTTTGTATTTCAGCAGATTAAAATAATATGATACTATTACAGCTTTATAGAGCCCAGAGCAGCAGCATAGTATGTGAGCCATAACCCTTGCTCAGTTTGTGGGCCTGGGCAGACTCCATTAGATGCACTGCTAGTTTCCTGTCTTCAGTATGGAGCACCTGCCTGCTCAGGTCACACCAGTACCACGCACCGATTCACCTCAGTGGAATGAGAGATTTCTGAAGCGCTCCAAGTACAAGCACTAAACTAAACACCAGGGATGGGGCGAGGTGGAGGAAAAGGCGTGGGTGGGGCGAGGGAGGCGTCCATGCAGCTGGCACCTCTGCTAGATGCAAGTTGCACCCGCCCCCCCTTCCCACTTACTTTGAATCAACACAGCTCTGTGATTTCTGCAAAGGAAGTTCAAATCACTTTCCCAAGAGGTTCTTCTTCTCAAATCCCCATTTGCAGCAGTAATAATAATATTGGTACAGTTTTAGGGTCAAATGCTGTTAAGATTTCAGTCTTCTTCTTGTTAACTGAAGCCACTTATTAATGTTCTCTCCAGAGGGACTTAATTTGATGACACTGGGTCACAGAATGCTACATATGCTGCTCTAAAAGCATCAGAGGTGTCCTGAATCTCAGATTCCTCTGGAGCCTTTAGTGAGTGCTATTCCTCACGTGGGGCCTCTCTGCCCTTGACTTATTCCAGGCAGCTGGATACAATCAAGAGACCATCCTTGTCACTTCATCTATAACTCTGCAGCTGACTGCAGGATCAAAACGGAGTGGAACAGAATGGGATGGGCCCTCTCTAATCGAGCCCCAGTGTAGTACGAAGTTCATTATGTATATAGTAAAGCATTTTCCCAGCCAGAGGAGTGAGAACTCAGATTCCACCCCCCTCTCCAAAGTCTCCCCACCTCCTACTCCAACTTTTTTCTTTTTACCCCAAGAAAACGTTCTGGGGTCAGCCTTCTGACACTCCTAACAAATGCCTTTATATATTGTAGTGTGGGCACTTCGAACTTCACATTCTATCCCTGTTGTTCTAGTAACAGTGCCTCCATAGCGATCTCAAGGCACAAAGCCATCATTCCACTGTTTGCCTATACCACCGAAGTCCTCCATATATACTGCCCTTCTCTATCTTTAATCGCACACATCTTTGAAGACGGAAGCCTATGTCTGTTATAACAAACTCTATGCCTTGGTTAGGAGCTTAGGAATAATGTGAACAGTCCTTACATTTGGGGCCTATTCAAACAGAGATTGTAACAACATAATATCATCCTCCAACTGTTTTCTTTCGATCTAATTTGGATAAGCTTGGTCCTAACCACCTCTTACCAGGAATATGAAAATTTTTTCCTCTGGACTTCTGGCTGTTTTTGGAGTTATCGTTTTTTTTTTTTTTTTAAGCTTCCTGAGGTTTTTTTGGGTTCCCACAAAAGTTCAAACTGAGATCTTCTATCTTTGTTTAAAGGGCACAGGAGGCAGCCTAGATTACCTCCTACAGAAGATACAATGCGGGACATGGTTTAAGTGGCTCAAGAACTAGCTCTGCCAGTGAGGAGCTGTGCAATGGACCTACTCGAGGCGCCCGCTTTCATTTTGCCACCTACAAAATGAGGGGTCAGATTAGGTGACCTCTAATGTCCACTTAGGGCTAAAACCTTGTATCTTTTTCCTCACTAACCCATTCCCACGGGAACTAACTCATTAACCGTGATCAGCTGTGAGCTGGAAGTCTCTAAAGAGCATGGCCTGCAGGATTAAACTTCGTTTAAAATGCCGTACACATATGGGTGCTCATGAGTGTTCCTGAGAAGAGGATGATGCACTGTATCCTGAGCCAGCTTAGAGAGTGCATTTTAAACTCAGGGTGTGTGCTAACCACAATCAGATTCAGGAAACTGACTGGGGAGAAGGGGGAAGGTGTAACCACAGGTGGTGCCCATCTGGGATATACAATTAGGAAATCATGGATCAGTTCTAGGAGAGAAGTAACTCTCTGAAGTGGCTGCTACAGTCATCACACTTTCAAAGGCACAGTTCCGTAGGGATATTGCTACTGGGTGAGACGGATACCACATGTATTAGGATTCGTGAGCCAAGAGATGGACTAAGAAGGGGTAAGGTAAATGGGAGGGGGGGAGGGGAGACGTGGATCCAGGATGTACCAAACTGGGCCGGGGCTTCATTTTTCTCCTTGCACACGCCCCTGCATTTTGACAATCCCTAACCAACAGAACTCTATGAACCAACCCAGACCCTGTGGTCACATGCTTATTTTAACCAAGGCAGAGCTGCAAGAACCCAACTTGCAAATGTCTTTGAATTACTGGCCCTTCTTCTCTTCAGGCTTGTGTTGCATGCTGCCCAGATGGGAAAGGGGTAGCTGGCTGGATTCCAATTCCTAGCCGGTTTCCACAGAGGAGCCAGTTAGTGGATTCACTCTCAGCCCTCTGGGAACAAAGCTCACCTTTTATATTTGGAATTTCCTGAAATGAAGTGGAATGAAGGGGCTGATTGGCTTCATTTTCAGCTCATGCTTTTCATTACACTGGTGGTTGGTAGTTTCTGTCAAGGGGGCACTTTGCAGAAAGCCAAAGAGTTTTTGTCCACATCTGGGACACAATTAAATGCTAATGCTAGACATCTAGAGCAAGGGCGCCCTAAAGTTATCACCTGGACTTCTCTAATGCTGACTGGTTTTGACAAACACATGTACATGCTGTGTTATGCATTTAGATCTACCTGTTCAATCACGTCAGTCTGCCCGAGAGACCTTTCCAACCCAAGGCAGGATTCTGCTTAAAATAAGTCAAGCAGGAAAACCGGTATCATGGGAAGGCTTCTGGGGTTTTGGCAGAGATCCTATTTGCCCCAGTCTGGCTTGAGGTTAGTGCCTTGGTGCTGGGGACATGATCTCCAATCCTTTCAAGTTCCTGCTTCAGGCCTGGGGCAGTGATGAAGGCAAAAACACAGCCTGGAGCTGGCCACAGTTGACAGAGGAATGTCTGCTATTAGATCTTTCGTCAGGTACCACTATTAGGAAGACATGGCTGAAAAAGGTGGCTTTAAAATAGTCCCCTCCTCCCGTATCTGTACCATCTCACCAGATGGCATTACTACGTGCCTCTGTGGATGACAAGAAGCAGCACACTTTTATGATCTGAGCCGCTGGGGCCCTGCCTACACTACCTCAGATTTGCCGTCAGAGATCATTTGGAAGGCAGAGATCATTTGACACAGTTCCCTCACTGCATGGAAGAGAAAATTCAGAGCTGGAGAGGAAGTGGCTGTCCTAAGGTGACGCTGCTAGTTCAAGCTGAGTCCTAATTCCCAGAGTGATTTCCCACTCTTCTGATCTGAAAAAGCATCTCGTTTCCTGAAGCTCGGTCCCTCACTTATAAAACAAAGAATTCAGATGATGTCTTAAGTCACAGTGCCATGTTCTTCGGCTCTGTGGTGTTAGTGGTAGAGGTGGTAAGAGTCACTGAATGACCGAGTCGAGCGCAGACGGGTGAGGAAAGGAAGCTGAAGAATACGACAGAACCCTTTGCCCCCAGCAGTACTCATCTTCTAAAAGCTGAAGGCTCTTCATGAATGTGGTTCCCATTTAGCAAGGAAAGCCACATGCTTACGCCATTAAAAGGAGGAATTCTCGTCAGCTGTGTAGCAAACGAGCGAGATTCCACACATGACATCCCGGTCCTACTGGAACCTTGTAATCCGTGAGGCTCTGGGGGAGAGAAGGAAACACAAGCAGAAAGCAGCTGAACGAAAGCTTCAACTCAACTGCTATTTTTCATGCGGCAATGAATCCCTTGAGAGATAATAAAGAAGGAAAGAGGAGACGTGAGACTGAGGGGATGGGAGGAGGAGATGGTCAGGAACGGGCCGTGGGCTTTCCGATTTTGGGCTCCTTAAGACCCACGAAATAATGAAATCACTTTCACTTCCACAAGCTCCACTCCAGTGGGGGGCATACTATTTCTAAGTCTAGTCCCAGGTCACTGTTTAATGAAGTTAAGAGAACTGTGATCATAGGCCAAATGGCTATTCTCTTTAAAGCCTGCACGAATGGAAACAGAGACTTTAGTTTTTATAAATAATCATTACTGGGCTTTTGAAATTTCAAGTTGACTTTGGTGAGGCTCAATTTAAATGACTGGGGACCAAAGATATTAGTTCTTGTCCAGCAAGGAGGAAATAACTCTCTTTACTTCAAGTCACTGCGCTGGTGACTTCCATCCCTTGCAGTCAGGGATGCTACTGCAAAACTGGCAAAGTCTTTTTGTTTTCCTTCTCACTGCAGAAAGGGAGGAAATGGCATTGACCACAAACTCCATAATCCTGGCTGACTTCAAAGCATAAATGTGGTTCCAAAATAATTCCTTGGTGAGTTAATTCATCATCGTGCCCTGTATGTGCTTAAACACCAGAATCTCTTGGGGGAGAATCAATCAGCAGGGGGACTCTTTTGAGTTATTTATTTATTTATATCCCATCTATCCCTCCCACCACCACCCCAAATGATTTGAGATGGCTCCCAATAAAAGGCAAAAACGACAATAAAATCCAAACTGTCAAGACAGATGATATCCTTGACAACATTTAAAACACAAAAACAAAAACCCAGAGATGTTCCATCTCTCTTAAATACCAAGTTCTACAAAGGCGATCCAACAGCAAGCTACAGCTGCAGAGTTTCGGGATGAAGAGATTTGAGGAGTCCTACTTATTAATTCATTTATGCATTCAACGGACAGATACTTGAGCTACCACTGTTTTTTTTAATTAAAAAATTTTGAGATAATTGCAGATTTAAAAGAAGGAAAAAATGCAGATACTGTGTACTCTTCTTTACCCAGTTTCCCCCAACGGCAACACCTGGCAAAACTATAGTATGATATCCTAAGATGCTAAGACTGATACAGTCAAGATACAGAGCACGTCTGTCACCACGAGGGTCCCTTCTGTTATCCTTCATAGACATCCTCCCCCATCCAGGCTCCCTCTGGCAGCCGCTCATCTTCATTTCTTTAATTTTGTAATTTCAAAAAGGCTACGTAAATGAGGTCATACAGTATTTAATTTCTTGAGGTTGGCTTTTTTCATTCAGCATAATTCCCTAAAGATTCATCTAAGTTGTTCTATGTATCAGTTAGTTTGTTCCCTTCTATTGCTGAGTCGTATTCCACAGTATGGATGTACTAGTTTGTTCAACCGTTTACCCACTGAAGGACATCTGGGCCAATTTGTTTCTGGCCTTTACAAATAAACCTGCTATGAATTTGTGTGGGCATAAATTTTCATTCCTCCAGGATGAATGCCCAAGAGTGCAACTGCTGGGTCATATGGTAATTGCGTGCTTAGTTTTATAAGAAACTGCCAAAACTGTTTCTCCAGAGTGGCCGCACCATTTTACATCCCACCAGCAACGTATGAGTCATCTCGTTTCTCTGCATCTTTACCATTTACCAGCATTTGGTGTTGTCACTAATTTTTAATTTTAGCCATTCTGATAGGTATATAGAGATATACAATTGTGGTTTTAATTTGCATTTCCTTAATGGTTAACAATGTTGAACATCTTTTCATGTTTATTTCCCATCTGTACATCCTTTTCCGTGAAATGTCTGTTCATGTCCTTTGCCCATGTTCTAATCGGACTGTTTTTCACTGTTGAGTTTTGAGAGTTCTTTATATATCCTAGATATTTAGTCCTTTGTTGGGTATGTAGTTTGCAAATATTGTCTCTCAATCTGTAGCTTGTCTTTTCATCCTCTTCAAAAGGTTCTTCACAGAGCACAAGTTTTTAATTTTGACGAGGTCCAATTTATCAATTTTTCCTTTTATGGATTATGCTTTCGGTGTTAAATCTAAGGACTCTTTGTTTAGCCTGAGATCCTGAAGATTTTCTACTTAAGTTTTCTCCTAAAAGCTTTAAAGCCCTATGAATATATGTAAGTCCATAATTCACTTTCAGTTAATTTTTCTATAAGATGTAAAGTTTAGATCAGGGTTAAATTTTTGCCTGTGGATATCCAGTCCATCCATCACCATTTGTTGAAAAGGCTATCTTTCCTCTACTGAACTGTTTGCACCTTTTGTCAAAAATCAGTTGCCCCTCCCCCATTTTTAGGGACTATCTTACACTTAGAAGAGTAAGTACAAAAACAAAGCATATTTATTAAGGAGTTTGCTATGTAGAAAAGCTAATGATATGCATTAAAAAGCTAGAATGCTTAATAGAAACAAGAACATAGGCAAAAGTAGGATTACTTCTGGGTTGGGGGTGGGAAAGCAGGGAATAAGGAAAAGCCTTCCTGAATTTCATTTTCAGGGAAGAAAGGAAAAGAAAGTTAAATTACAAAGTTAGGATGAGATTCTCATTGCCCCCAGTCAGGTAAGTCAGTTGTACAAAATTATTCTTTGCTGTCTATTTAGCAGGCCAAGAAGGAGACCAGGATTATCTCATCAAATACAGAATAAAAAATTATGTAACTTTGAACAACTTCTTATAATTTTACTCACAGAAACTAAACCGGAGAAAATTCAATGTTCAAACACATTTTCACTCAGTTAGCTAATAAATATTTACTGAGCATCTACTATGTGTCAAGTACTGAGATGCCAGTAGCAAAAAAGGCACACAGAATCCTGTCTGAATGGACAGCTCTAAAGGGAGTTTTCCAGTTCAGCCCCAGGTCTCTGCTGTGGATTTCATTACGGCCCTGGTTACTCCTTCCTTCCTTCTCTTAGAGCGGAGTGTCAATATTTAACCAGGACTTGCGCCCCACTCCTCAAATCTTCAGCCCAACACAAAGGCTGGCTGGGAACTTTTAAAGGTTTTCAACTCTTGATCTAAACCAGCCAACAGATAGTAGCAAATATACTGCAACCATAATTAATGTGAACCCTGGGTACTAATTGTTGAGCACCAAGCAATCGATGTGATCTAAGAGATGAGCTATAAATACCACACCGACCAGTTCACGTCGATTTGTAGAGACTCATTTTCCAATTGTGACATTTCTATGGTCAGGGGATTATTCTGATCCTTTAAGTTTTCTTTTTATTCTTCCAAAAAGTGGAATTGCTACGTCTAATGCCATAACGATCACCAACCACTGTCTCAAACTCATGATTTTGCAAGCAGACTTACAACTGGCAGACTGTAGCTTCGCAATTGGGAACAGCATAGCCTTTTCCTTGGAAAGCCATAGCACTGCCCTTCTGAGAGCTCTGATGGGTGATTTTGGGGCCTGGATGCTGCTGTGGCTTTCATTTCCTCTGGCCCTATGCCAATTCCTGCTCACACACCTTCCTTAAGCATCTCTATCAAAATCAGGGCAGATAAGCAGCCCATGCAAGACAAATTCCCCATATCCCCAAATCAGAAGCCAAATCCTGAAGCTCTGAATTCCTGGAGCAGTAAAAGCCTGTAATCAATCTCAATGAGACAACAGGCAGCTTTCGGAACAATAACCTTCAAACATATGGATCCTTTCAGGGTTAGAATACCACTGCAGATATGTCCCTTTGAATGCGGGGAGGGGTGTGTGCACTCTTTGAACCATCAGGTGTGCCAACACCCCACATTAAAGTAACTACCCCACATTATAAGCACTTGCTCCCGAGGCAGGAAGCAACGAAGCCAGGTGGCCCTGATGGAGCTGTGTTGAGGCCCTGTGGGCAGCGCAAAGGGCTGGGAGCGGAAAGGCCACGAGAGCTCTTTCCTCACCGGCACTGCTTGGCACAAAACAAGCAAGTATGAAAAACATCTTGAAACCCACCTGACTTATTTGGGATGGGAGTCTGTGTGCAGGAGACACCCTTTGACGGTAAGATGTGGCAGCAGAAAGCGTGTCCCCTTCTCTTTGGGAGCCAGAGTCCTTCGCCCTACATTTGAGGTTTCATTAATGGCTGTGTAAACAAATTCCGAGCTTGTTATTTCTAATGTGCTCAGTGGGGAAGGAAAAAGTGTCACTCTATTGTAATTCCCAACTGGGCGCTTTTTCAAACGATCAGATGTTATTTCACGGTTCGGTATATGTATTCGATTTCCTTCCCTTAATATTTGTTTGGCTTGTTCTCCGATGGGGACTGGGCACTTTGGAAAGGCTCTGAGAGGTCGGCCTGCACTGAAGCCTCTCTCAGCACCTCTGCGGGCTCCCGGCCGCTGCTCTGGATCTTCTTTCAGCAGTTCTCACTGCGGCAGCCGCACGCACGGACTATTTTCCCTCCAGGTCCCGTGAGTCTTGGGGGTGTAAATCAATGCAAGCTGGACACGGGACAGACCTAACCGATTACTCAGCTCTCCTACAGGCTGAGAACAGGGAGCCTGAAGCGATGTGGAGACTATCCCGGGAGAGAAGTCTCTGAGAAAGAATGACTCACCTCTGACCACAACCTTTCATGTGTCTCCTCTGAAAGAACCTCTGGCCTTACCTTACAGGGAGAGGGGTGCTCATAGAAAGAAACGAACCATGAGTCCCGTTCCCGCTTCTGAAGATAAGGTTCTCTACAAAGGCAGCTCCTCAGGTACTTAAGTGAACGATGGAGGAAAGACAGACAGATGTCCCTTTCAGTATTACGGCCAGGCCCAGGGTAGGTACTCAGAGGGGACTGTCATTCACTCAGATAGTACAGGCTCCAAGAGAGCATACAGCCATCAGCTTCTTCAGACATTTAATGAAGAGGGCACACCACGAGTCCTAAGGAAGTCAGAGTTACAAAAAGCTCAGTGTTGGCAAAATGGTTCCAGCTACACTGTGAAGCTTTAGTGTGGGACCCAGTGAATGCTGATCCCAAACAGCTTTGGCAAGGTTAGATCGGTGCGTGCCAAAAATGGGCCCGGCTCACAGAGAGTCTCAGTGGCTGCAGCCCTGCAGCGGCCGTGTGGATGAAGTCCTGACTGGCTCCATCGGGCACTCCTGCTGCGGTCTATCATCCAGATAAGAGCAGAAAAGACTTGAATTCCCAGGCTTGCCAGTCACCCACTGGGTCAGATACTGTGAAGGCTCAAGGACCTGAGTTGGCCAAGAGGTCAAGGAATGGAAATCTAAGGGTCTAGTTTTCTCACTGAAGACTGAGACACATCCAATGACTGGACCATCCGTCTACTGCAAGAATGTCCCTCCCTTAGGGGCGCTCCTATTAGTCTTGGCTACGCAGTCATCGAGCTTCTTGCTGTCCCGGATGAACTCAAAGGGTAAGCCCGCTCTAGATCCCATGGCAGGATGAGATAAGTGGTTCCGTGTACCAAAAAGAAAAACCTTTCAGAAGAGACCCTCCCTGTATTCCCAACAAGATAGCACATTTTCAGATTTAGAACTCTGAGGCTGAAATCTAGGGAGAGCAGTTAATTTTCTATCAGAAGGATTTTTACTACAAGTTTGTGAGAAACAATCTTTAGACCCAATCCAAGACTTGTTTTCCATTTATCTGTTCCCCAGACCTGGTATCTGTGGCACTTTTCACTGGCAGAAGGCTCAGAGAGGGACAACAAGACAGAGATAGCGTTTTTGTTGTTGTTGTTGTTTTTAAGTTACCTGCTAGTTTTTAAAGAGATATTTAGGAAGTATAATCCCATGATAGGTTGTTTCCCTCTTTCAGATCTTCCAGTGAGAAGAGAAAAAGTGGGATGGTTTATTTAGAATCACAGATTTTACCATCTCTCCCACTCTCCCTGGACGAGTATACAGATAACTATAAATTTTACTGATTACGTTTAAAATGTAACTGTTACATAGAGCCTCAGCTCTGGAATTCTCCAGTTAGTTGAGCTTCCTCATCACAAATTAAGTCTGAGCTATGTGTAGGCCTATCTTTTCCTTTTTGGTTCTCCAGTGCATTTGAACAGTATAGATTTCTCCACTGCCACTACCTAACTGGCTTTCCCTGTCTTCAGTCTCTGTCATCTCTAATTCATCCTGCGACCTGCTTTTACCATACACCTCTCTACAAACCTACCTCTTTACCACCTTACACTTTTCAGCTGGCCTCTTCACCCGTCTGTCAGCTGGCCCTATATTGCCTAAGCAACCAAGGTTCCACTGTTCACCAAAAAACAAGTTCCACTCTCATCCCATCAATCTGCTTATAACTTCCCTGTGCAACCACACATACCAAGCTTATTCTCACTTTGCTCCCTCTCCTCTTGGTGCGTCCTACACCAGGAAAGCCCACTTAAAGATGGTTTTATGTTCTCACGAAAAAAACAAGAGAGACAGACATTTCAAGTTCTTCTAATTTCCTCCCATGATTCTTTGAAAGTGTATACTTGCCATTGCCTTGTGGAGTTGTGAACACAATAATACAAATAAATTCTCGTAATTTATTAGCATCCAAGAGGTTTACCCAGCCTCTGTCGCCCATGGGATACCCAGGTAGAGAAAGAAAGGCATCAGCATTTTGTGCACCTAATAACATCCAGTTGCTCTTCGTGAAGTCCATTCCCCACGCGAAGTACTGACTTTATAACCAGTATTACTAGCCAAGAGTGTTTCACATCACTCAGGTGAAAAATGTTCAACACTTAAGTGCTACTAATAATTTTTATGGTTGGAAATGAGGATCAAAGCATAAAAGAAAAAATAAATTCACGGGTTCATACATTCAGCCAAGTCTGCATGGCTCATTTTCTGCCACATGTTTTAAACGGTCTCCTTTAAAGGCGGGGGAGGGGAGGAGGAACAAGTTGCATTTTATTTCCCAGCTCTTTAGGACTGAAATAAAAGCAGACAGACTTGGGGGGAAAAAAAAAATCAAACATTCGAGTAACACTATACACTGCTACTGTTCCCCCAGGAGCTCCTTGCAAATGAGTATCAAGAACTCAATAGATACTTTCCTGGAGAAATACATAAACAGATAAATAAATTATTCCAGGCTGAAAAGAATTTCAACATCTGGTAGCTCACTAGAGCTTGTCAAACAAGTCAGAAACACGCAGGGCCAGAGAAGATCATTCTTTAGCTTCTGATTTCGGGGCTGGAGAGGGAATGTAACATTTCCCAAAGCTCTTTGCCTTCCAACAGGGAATATGACCCATTTAACAGGCAAATGACCCTTGTGTTTTCTTCCAATTAAGCAAATAACGGTACCCAGTATTAGGTCTCTAATCCTAATGTCTGCGTGCTCAAGTCACAGACAGTGGAAGAAAAAAGGCCTTTCCTACACGGGCCGGCCTTTCGTTCCCAAGAACTTGCTATGTCGTGCCTTTAAGGGTCATGTTTAATGTGCATTTAACACTTTAAAGATGTAACTTAACCTCTTCGCACCTCAGTGTCCTCAGCAGTAGAGCAGAAAGAGGCGGGATGATCTCTGGGTCCCTTCGCGCTCTGAGCTTCTGGACTGAGGTTAAGAGGCATGCTGGGATTCTGATGCTCTGGCCAGATCGGCAGGGAGGCCTGAGGGTGGGTCCCCTCTTGGCGGCAGCCTCGTCGACACACCGCAGCACGCAGCACTAACATTACGAACTTGTGCTACAGTCTGACAAAGGCCGTGGAGAGCACTGCTGCGGCTCTAGCAACTTCCTCCCGGAACGGGATTCTGGGGTTCACTATCATTTTCAGGCTGTTCTTCCCCCATCGCTCCTCCTGTACCTCTTAACTCTTATGTCAGGCCCACATTTTCTTCTCACGGCTTTGAGAAGTGAATAACCTGTGAGCTGCCCTTTAGTCTCTGCTCAATGTCCCTTAAGTAAGCCATGAAGACTATTGCTTGAATGCAAATGGCAAATCTCTACAAATCCATGCTTCTAACCTCTGACAAAAGCACTGCCTTAAAATGCCCTCGCATTTGTGTAAATCAGGCTGAAACTCTGCTGCTTGAGTGGACGTGAGAGGCCTCAGAGGAGGCATCAGCAGAACCACGACCGAAGCGAGTCCTGGTCCAGCACACTCCACCCTGGTTGTCCTCCATTAACATGACAGCTGTATTTGCCCTTTGGCTCCTAACATGCTGCTGGCCATCGCCTCCAAATACCCCTGGATCCTCACACATGTGATCTCTCTGGGTTTCACAGGAAAGGAAGGCATCTGACATGCTGTATGTACAGAAGTCTGGTACTTCTTCCCATGGAACCACTTCAGCAGGGTTGCCTGCACGTCTGGTCTCTTAGATTTGTTACACCTGAAGGGACTGCAGGACGTCATTTACTCTGTTCTTCTGTCTCCAGGCCGGACTGCTAAAACCACTCTAGCTACTAGAAGACTGCTGGCTTCCCCTTTCTGAAAAATTCCCAGATGGGGAATTGTGTCTCTTCAGATTTCTCTAAAAATTCTTTGGAGGCACAGCAAGAAAGGCCTGTTGCATGGTTTCTCTTTGATTCTCACAAATTCAATAATATGTTTAAACTATTTTTTATTTAAACTAGGATCATGAATTTAACTATGACAGAAATGATAAAGGCTATAGAAAAAAATAAACAAGAAATAGAGATGCCTATTTTAGAGAGAAACAAGCAGGGGGGACATTTAGATTAAAATTAAAAGTGCCAAGGGAACTAACCTTACTTAATTGACCTAGTAAGATCATTAAATCTACAATTGCAGAATGTATGCTTTTTTAGTGCACACAGAATATTTAACAAAATAGACCTTTTACTGGGCCGTATAAGCTCAATAAATTTCAAAATATCGAAATCACATGGAGTATATTTTCTGACCACAGTGGAATCAAATCAGAAATCAATAAGAAAAGGGGAATTTTAAAAACTGTCAAAAGTAAACAGTATACTTTTATATAACTGCAGGTTAAAGAAGATATTACAGTGCAAGTTAGGATATATTTTAAACTTAAGGATAATAAAAATATAACAGCAAAACTTGGGAATATACCCAAGGCAATAATTAAGGAGAAATTTACAGCTTTAAATGCTATGTTAGAAAAATATTGAGATCAATGATCTAAGCTATCAAATTAAAAGGCTAGAAAAATAACAGCAACTTAAACTCATGAAAGTAGAAGAAATTAATGGTTAATGAAATACAAAGCAAATATAAAGTCAGCCAAATCAGAAGTTGATTCTTTGAAAACATTATGACACTGATATACCTCTAACAACGCTGATCAAGGAAGAGAAAAACAAAAATTACCAATATCAGGAATGAAAAAGAATACATCATTCCAAATCCTGTAGACTTTTAACGAAATAAGACAAATGACTTTATAGTAATACATTGTATGATTTAGATGAAATGAACAGATTCCTAGAAAAACACATCCTATTAAAAACTAATACAAGAAGAAATAAAGGAGTCTGAATAGTACTGGAGCTATTAAAGAAATTGGGTCTATAATAAACATGCTAGAGAACAAAGGGAACATAGAATGGGTAGTATAATAGGAAAGTTATAAATATCAACTATGGTCTCATGACCAAGCTACAGAAGCAAAGAATGTATTGGCTATGCATATTTTCTCCTTTCCTTGCATACATACACGAATTTGTCTCCTCTTCTTTTCCTATTTCTATTTTATATAAGAATCAATGTTACGATTACTCAGTGTATACATAAATTTAGGCAACTTATTCTTTGGATGTTTGTTGCTTCCTGATAAGTTTAATATCCTTGCTCAAATTCTGAAAGTTTTCAGCCATTATTTCTTCAAATATTCTTTCAGTCCCATATTCTTTCTCTTCTTCTGGAACTCTGATGATGTGGATGTTATATTTTTCGTGATTGTCTCTGAGGTACTGTTCAGTTTTTTTTAAATCTATTTTCTCTTTTCAGACTGAATAATTCCTACTGACTTATCCTCAAGTTCACCAATTCCTTCCTATCATTTCCATTCACCTATTGAGCCCATTGAGTTTTAAATTTAGGTTACTGTCATTTTTCAGTTCTGAAATCTCCATCTGGTTCTTTATATCTTCTGTTTCTCTGCCAAGACTTTCTCTTTTTCCAGTGCGCATAATTGCTTATTAGAGGATTTTTTTATGATGGCAGTTTTAAAATCTATGTCGAATAATTCCAGCATCTGTGTCATCTTGGTGTTGGCTAATTTGAGACCTGGGTAGTGTTTTATATCACAGTTTATTTCTCAAAGCTTTTGCTGTATTGATTCTAGTCAGTAATACGCACGGGCTGATTGAAGGGAGGAGGGGGAGAGTGTGCCCAGGACCTCAAACACAGATTTAAAGAATCCCTTTTTCAGCTTCTCCTTTCCAGGATCTTCCCTCCACCCTTAAACTGGGATGAGATGAGGCTCTGGCTCTTTGCTATCTGGGAACAGTGAGCAGGACTCCTCGCCACCAATCTCCATAGCTGCCTCTTTGCTGACGTTCACTTAGTGCAGGGCCTGGATGGGCAACTGGGTTCCACCCCACAGGTCAACAGGGCTCTGCATGACAATCTCCAAGGTCATAGCATCTAGCTGGCAGAGGTAATGGAAAGCTTCTTTTGTGGTGTCTGCCTGGTGCACAGTGGGTATAGTCAAAAGGGTTCCATATGCAAGGGCTGCCCTTTTCCCAGGCTTTGGCAAGAGAAAGTCGGTTTTTCTTGTTTGCTTGCTTGCTTGTTTTTATCTATGCCTGTAATTGTTATGGCCTTCTCTAGCACTGAGACCGTGGAGGGAAGGGAGAGAGGAAGGGAGAAAGGGAGGAAAAAAACCCACGGGAACTCACTGCTGGGACATCCCTCAAGTCCTGACGTTCCTAGCCAGTCTGTCTTCCTCTTCCAGGAATAGGGTGAAATGTGCTTACTTGATCTTCTGCAGAAGTGAAAATCTACAATTTATTCGTTGACAGAACATTCAAACAGAATTGTGATTAAATTAAAAAAGGAATTAATAATTACCCAGAAGTTAATATTATGACCACTGGGACTTTGTGTCTCCTCCTTGGGGGAGAGAATGAGAAATCTTTATTTGTATAGGGGATGGCTGCATCTTCTAAGTGGAAGAATAAAGTTGTTACTATTGCTGAATGAAGTTCAAATCCATGTAGAAGGCTGTGTATGGACATTGAGAAGCCAAAGGGGTAGACTGTGCTAGTTATTAAGCTATTGTCTCACAACCCCACACCTGCTTTGTGACGCTGGAGCTGAGACTCTGCAAGAAGAGGTAGCTCTCTGTCTTGGCTATACCATTCTGAGTGTTCCCTTTTTTCCACAAAAACAAACACATGGGCATAATTTGAAGCTATTATAGGCAATGAAGAGAGAAAATACTGGCAGAAAAAGACTGATCTTTAAGCCATGAACTGGCTAGAGAAACAAGGTAATTTGCTTTTTTAAAAAATGGGATAAATGTATGCTTTATGAGCTATTCTCAAGCCTCCCGCTGGCCAAGAACTATACTGACACGCCAGCATATTTCCTAACAATTTTCTACACTCAAATGGAGCTATACACATATATATTTGGGAGGAAACAAACAAACCCGGGAAAACTTGAGCTTTTAATTTTTGGTGGTGGCAGTGGTAGGGGGATTCCTATTCCTTCCCCTTAAAGTCCACTTTTCAAGGTTAGAAAATAAATTCCTATAATAAATATATGTACCAAATATGACTTCACTTCCTAACATTTCCTGATTTCGTAGAATCTCAAATTCAACAAATCCTGAATCAACTAAAGAAGATGGTTGGTTACCTTTCTCCCAAAGGCAAGATAACTATTGGGGATAAATTTCAGCACTTTCCCCTGTGCCAGCTGTAGCTAATTGATTTATACACTCTGTTTTGCTTAGGTCTGATACCCCCATTAAACCCCTGCAGCCACCATGCATCTCCCGCACATCCTCCCTGACAGAGCTCATCAATTCCTATTGCTTTTCACCAGGCCTGGGCTCTGGCACTTTCCCCGAGGGAGACCTTTACTGGTCTCCATACTTAACCCTTGAACTCGGCCTAATCCATCAGCCGCATTGAATGAACGGTGATAGAGAGTGTTTCTCCCTAAAGACAGGCAGCCAGCCTCTCCACTTAAAACTCAGGAAAAAAGCCATCGACGGGCTCTGCTTTCTGTTTGTCAGTGTCGCCAGCTTCTTCACTTACTGATGTTTTTACTGTTGCGGTGCCGAGCTGCTTGAATCAGGGGAAGCGCTATTCAAAAGGAGACATCAATTAAGTGCTTGTTAAACGCTATAGCTGCTCTTTTGAAAATGTCCCCCGGGACTCTCCTTGGGAGTTCCCAAAACGAGTGGAGGGCACAGCTGTCATTTTGGAATAGGGTTTCCCCAAAATTTTAAAGAACAGCTTCATAACCCACGCTCCTGTGCACGGCTCTGGACCTTACTAGAATTCTAAAGTTCTGACATTAGAGAATGAGATATAATACTCTTTATTAGGAACAACAAACAATACTAGGATGTGAATATTAAATATGTAAATAAACTGTTGAAAGCCTCCTTACCTCATAACCAAACTGCAGCTCATCAGAGGTCAGCATAATGATATCATCATCGATGGCCAGGACGGCCTCAGTCTCGATTTCATCGTACGGGAAGAAACGGTTACTCAACTTATTTTCAGCTGTCCTCACAACTTTTAATGGAACCCGGATTTTGGGCCAGAGAGACTCTGGGAAAAGAAAAAAACAAGATATTTATCTCTAATAAAGTACTCAGAGTATCATTACCACAAATGAAATGGAAGAATCAATTCAATCCACATGTACGAGTGTGCAAGGGAAATTCTTACAAATGCAGTTTTATAATATATTATAAATATGTCTATCCTCTGTAAGTCCTTACAATGGCACTACTAATTCTCAATACTGCCTTAACCAGAAGGCACAAACTGGCTTCAACTCACAACTGAGAGACAGAGAAGCAAAATGACCAGGATCACAACGACAAGAGAAATCCAGTCTTGACTGCCTCCTTCTCAGGCCCACAGTTTGTTTTTGTTTTTGTTTCTTCCCTCAGCTGTATTGAGGTATAATAATTAGTTGTTCATATTTACACTGTACGATTCAATGAGGTTTTTTTTTTCAGTTATAGTTGTCATACAATGGTATATTAGTTCAGTTGTACAGCATAGTGATTAGTTCTAATGTCAGAATTCTACCACGTCTACAAAATACTTTCCAACAGGTACACGCCAGGTAGAAACCTGCCTGCGGCTCTGCTAGGAAACAGGATGCATGCGTGGAGGAGGTCCGCCCCGACGCGCCCAACTCTGAGCGCGCTCAGGCAGCTTAACCAGGCCGCAGAATGCGCCCCTCACAACACTGTTTCGCCCAACGAGTGCAGCTTCCTGAACTTAGCACTTTATCCACTCGACAGCCCCTCGCCCGTGATTTACCGGGTTTGGCTCTCATCATGTCCAATTTACAGAGTAAATATCAAATTTCTCGGTTCAATTATGTGGGATTTTCTAGCACAGTAAAGAAACACCAACCCATGACTTGCCTGACATTTTCACCATTCTACTTCGAGATGACTGAAGCGATTTAACCGCAGGTTCCTTATTTTAAAATGCTGCATTTAGCATAGCGTGAAATGAATACTTCTTTGGTACAGTACCCCTGTCTGTAGATCTCAGGGTTCTTTACAGAGGGCAGTCTGTTCTTCACACAACACTTGTCAAATGAGAATAGGAAAGCTAGGTATCATACTGTTTCCTAAAAGTCCATCATGTAGTGGTGGAACGATCTAGTTTTTGTGGGTCTGGAAGCCCTAACATGCCCATAGCCACTCCAAAGTCGCCATAATAAAGAGAAGTATGACAGAGGAAAAGTCAGAAGGGAAAAAAAAGCTGTCTTAACTAACTGCAGACAAAATATCTCACTTCCATATATTTTATAGTAAGTCCAAGTACCACATTGTTGGGGCATTACCAGAATCTTGGAAGAAGCCTGTGCAAGTGAGAGGCCCTGTGATTAAAAAAGATATTCACAGCCTTAAATGAGCACAGAGCCTAAAAATGTGGTCAACTCCAAAAAAAGCATGTTTGGAAAAGGACTAAACTGGAGACCAGAAATGATCCTATAGGCTGCTGTCTTTTAATCAATAACAACAGTTAATTATAGTTTCACTCCTGGTACAGAATCACATAATCAATAAATATCTTTGGAACAAATGAGTGGACATAGGACTGAGATACTGGAGACCTGAGTTCTGCCTTACCTATGGGATCTTAGGCAAATCCCTTCTTCTTGGGGTAAGAATAAGCAGCGAGCGCGAGAGAGATCTTTATGAAGCAACTACTATATGCCAGACACTTTAAAGATGCAATGTCATTCAAGCCTCCTGACAACCCTATCGGGCAGAGTTTACAAAGTAGTATTTACAAGGCTCGGAGAGGTTAAGTAACTTGGCCAGGGTTACAGAGTTAATAAATGATAAGGTTAGTATTGGAATCTAAGTCTGTTTAGCATAAAAGACCAAATAGAACCTGTACCATCTATTGCAGCTTGCAAATCTCAAGTTTCTCTAGATCTGGAATAAAACAATGATGTTCAACAATTTTCTCCAGCAACTACCCTTATTATTGTTTGCTTCCCACTCCCTCTTCTAGATAAATAAAATCTCTGTCATAAATCTACTGTCCAAATCCTTACACAACATGAGTCGATCATAATATCTAAAGGAGGTTATAGCCCTACCTACCAGCCCAGTGGTTCTCAAGCTTTTTGGTGCCAGGAATCTTTTGTGCTCTTTAAAACTGTTGAGAACCTCAAAGTTTTTTATGTGTGATACAACACACACACACACACACACACATACACACACTTTATTGTATTAGAAATTAAAACTGAGGGAATTTTAAAACACAAGAATACACAAGCAGATATTCCATTAGCTATTAGAGTGATGACGTTATCCCATGTCACGTAGCTCCGGAAAACTCCACTGTTTACTTGTGAAAGAATAAAAGAGTGGGAAAGGGAGGGTGACTCAGTACTATCATGAAAATAATTTCAACCTCGCAGACCCCCTGAAAGGATCTCAGGGATGTCCAGGGGCCCCTGGACCACACTTGGAGAACTCCTATGCTAGACTCTGTATTCTGATTTGGGTATCACAATATGGGAAAAGTACCAACAACTGAAAAAACAGTTTAGGAGGTGTTATGAGGGTAGTGCAGATACTTGAATCAGGGATATCTATAGAATGTTTAAAGAAACTAAATGTGCAAGTTGTCAATTTATTGCTTCTCAATTTCAATTCACCCTTCATTACCCTGTTTGTGACACTGGAAATGTTTTCCCTTTGTCAGCTGGCCCAGTGCTGAACCCTGTCAGTAGAGGGTGCTGTAGAGACACTTTAGAAGGAAGGGGGCTTTTCTTCCTGGTTCTGGTGTGCTTTTGTTACTTCTTGCTCCTCTAGCACTTGACCAGCAGGTAGGCAGGCAGTGGCATTTATCTCCAGCAAGTTTAAGTTCTAGCTCCAGGGGCAGCTTCCCAGAAAGTCCTGCAGACACCCCAACCAGCTTCCCAGTGAGGTCAGCAGCACCCCCGAGAGCAATTCAGCTGAGGTTCTGTCCGTAGGTGGTTCCGAGGGAGCGCCACTGAAGCCCTCGCCAGTTTCCCAGAAAACTCAGTAACACCTGCTGAGCAGCTTTCTGTTGAATTCTATGGGGTATCGAAGGGGACATTTGGTTTCTTGCTGGCCAGACTTGGCCTGTGGCACCTCAGCAGTGGGCTATAGTCATGCGCTCTCCAACAAGGTTTGAATCTCAGACCTAGGTGGAGAAGGTGCTCTCCCAAATTTACTTCCTGTAATCTTTAGTTCTTTTTACCCCTTAGTCACCAATATCCTGTTACTAGTTAATAATTCTTTATATGAAACTTCTCCTGTTCAAGCTACTGTGTGGTTTCTGTCTCCCACCTGGGCCTTGACGAATACACTAGGGATAACGGAAGGGTTATCAGATGAAAAGGGATTTGTTCTCTGCGGCCTCTAATGGTTAGATCCATGAGCAGGGGCTGGGTGAAAGTCACAGGAAAATTGATTTCGACTCAAAATAAGTAAGAGTTTTCTAATGGTATAAACCGTCTTAAGATGAATGAAATGCCTTCAACAACATAATGTGCCCTTTTACTTGAAATGTACTAACTTAGATCAGATTTGTACTTGACATCAGATGAGAGACCAAACAAGATGCCTCTGAGTCCTAGGATCAGGCAGTTTATATATCACAGAAAGAGCACAGTCTTTAGAAACAGCTTCAAACAGGTGTTCCCCTTACTAGCCATGTGATCTTGAACAAGTCAATCACTTTGAATCTGTCTGACTATGAAGAGGGAATAACAACACCATCTTTCCGTGAATGACTATGAGAATGAACATGAATGTATTTAGCAGCACAGTGCTTGGGACATGGTAGACAACCGCTAAATGTTAGCTGTGATTTCCTTGAAAGTTTGTGTCTATTTACAAAATCAAAGGATTTTTTTTGAACCTTAGGTAGTGATGGCAAGATGGTACATGTTAGATCTGGTGCACTACTCTGACAATACAGAGACATGCCTCCAGCTTGTACCTCCCATGCATGTCCACTTTTGAATAAACAGAATCCCTGCTATTCTAAAAAATCTAACAAAGAGGATGATGTGGGGTACAAATGGAAACACAGAATGAATCATGGCTTTTTTGGAAATGTGATTACTTTCCCTGTTCTGAGTTGGGCCTGGGTGGCCAAAACTCAGCACTGACAAAAAGAGTCTCCATCTCAATGGTCAGCTGTCTAAGAACTATCATTACCACAAGACAGGGCTCTAAATAGAATTCCCAGTTTCTTCACTTCACATTTTTAAATAAAATAGGCCTCCAAGAAAGGGAACCACCATTCTTTCAGGCTTTAGCATCCCTTCTGTGGAGGACAAAGGTAAGGGAGCAGCAATCAAAGAATAACCATTATAATTACTCTTTGCCCTAAAGCATTTAGATAATTCTGATATGGGATTTTGATTCTGTTTTAAAAATCAGGACAGAAGCATGAGGTAGGAAAGAAAAATATAGGTAAGAAAGAAGAGGTTTTTTCCCCTTCCTATTAGTATTTTTGAAAGAATAGATTTACTTTCCTGTCTCTTTGGGTCCCTGACAAGGACCTAGTTGTTCTATACAACCCCAAATCAGAGAACTGATGGAGCACGATGAATTTCCCTGCTGCTAAATGGTAATCTAAATAGGTACAGAGGGGCAAGAGTTTTAGACCCAGAGAGACCTCTGTTTATTTCTGGCTCTGCCGTTTGCAGTGTTGTGACTGAAGCAAATTACTCAACTAATCTGAGCTTCATTTTTAAAAAATGGATATAATAACATCTTTCTTGCAGGACTGTCGTAAGGACAGGAGATAATATGTATAAAGCACTTAGCACAGTTTCTATTCCAGGGATATAAAAAGTATACAATACATGGTTAATAGCATTGTATTATTATCATTTTCACGAATGGATTCTTGTAAAATCTTATGAACTTCACTTCTCTATTGACAACTTGAAGAGGTATGGACAGAGAGATAGAGGTTGACCTCTCAGGATGCAGAAGGAAAAAATGCCATAGCTAGAAATCTTCAGGCTCTACTATTGCTTAACTCAGGCAGGGTCTCTTTCTCCTTACCCCTTTAAATTCTAAATGGAACAGTGTACCCTTGTATCCTGTGCCTCATCCTGTGAATCTGTAGCTGGCAAAATAGAAATGTAACCTTGCATTCACACAAAGAAGTCTACAAACTAGGATTTTTCAAACACACTAAATTTATGAAAAACAAACAACTGAGCCAAGTGACCTGATAACTTTACAGTTATGAGCTTTAGTCCAGCTTAAAGGAGAAAAAGAACTCCTTGTGCTAAGGATTTTTTTTTAAAAAAAACGTATATTGATTAATGGTTTTCTCCATTTTGGATGCCAAGGGAGATGTGAGCAAAGAGAATTTTTCTCCAACTTGGCAAAGGTACCATAAAATGTTCAAGTTGACTGAAGATGACCCCACACCCATCCTGGCAATCACTGTCACAAACACAATCACAGAGCCACAGAATAAATGATATCACCACCACACAGACCTTAAGCCCCCTTCGGGAGTGTTCATGCTGCTTGGTGTACATCTGGTCCCCATCACCCTAATTCCCACAGTCTTCTATGAGTCACCTCAAAAGGAAGGTAGCTGCTGCTTCTACTTCCCTGTTGCCTCTTCTGGGTGGAGCATCCTGACACTCTCAGCCGATCCCATCCTGCCCACTGAGAACTATGACAGCAGCAAGCCCAAGCTGGGGGGGTCCTGAGATGAATTCAAATGTAAAACTGAAATCAGTTAAAAAGAAGGCGGAGGTAAACCTATCTGAAGTGGACAGTGTACCAGCTTCCTTCAGACCGAGGCCAGGGGCCAAGGTAAATAACTCCTAAATCCATCAGGTTTGGAAATTGAAGAGTTGGCGGGGAGGAAGGCAGTGGCTTGCCTTTTTTTCTGACAGAGCTCAAAACCAATGTGACGAAAGCTCACTGGAAATTTCTACTGCCTAGTTTAAGTATCTTCTTAAACTTCAAACCCAGCAATTTAGACTTAAATGTGACCAGAAAAGAAAAAAAGTATTTGGTTGGGTTGGAAAGTGGAAAAAAAAAAAAAAAAAGGTGTGTGTGGCGGGGGAGATTCTGCCTACACTAATCCTCTCAGCAGCAGACACATTAACCACAGTATTTATTTTAGTAAATGTAGAGAAAGTGAAAAACATCATTTTTGCCTCTAACATTTCAAAGCCTTGAACTTTCTTTTTAAAAAATATATATGTTACTAATGCTGTACATGAAAAATAAGATGCCTCTGCTGGCATGAGGGCCAGAGCTGACAGCCCCATTTACCAAGTGAACAAACACCCCACAGAAGATTAAACATGGTTCATGTTCTCCCCAAAGAACCACATCGCCGGAGCCGGAGCCCTGACCTAAAAACCACCATTAGAGGAAAGCTGGTCCAGTCTCTAAACGTGTCAAAATTAGGGCCTCATCATCTGAGGGCTCTCTTTCCTCCCTAGAGCCAAAATATTTCAAAAATAAACTAAAATCTTGGTCAGAAAATTAACCACTACATTTTAGTAGGGTCTACCAAAAATTAAAACTGAATACCCTGCTCCAGAAACCTAGGTTTGTGCTATATTGCGTTCAGTTATGTCAATGGGGGGGCTTGGACCAAGAAGGAAGAAAAAGATTTCTCCTTTCTCATAGTTTGCAATGATACTTGGCCAAAAGAAGTGACTCAAACTCACAATAAATAATTCGCCCTAAGCCCGAAGTTGCTAACCAAGGTTTCTAAGAACCTCCTTTGCGTTTGGCACCAGGCTTTGCAACTCTGCCTCTCTGGGCCGGAGGTGGGTTGGGAAAAGTAGAGGGGCTGAAAGGCTCTCTCTGAAAGCTGGTGGCCTTTGTAAGCAGGAGCAAATACAGGGTGACACGACCGGAGCCGAGGAGGGATACACGGCCTTCTTTTTTTAAACAGGACCTGTCCTTTAAGAGCAAAGAGACTGATTAGCAATGCAGTGCCATCCAATCTGCTGCACTCCAGGGAGAGGCGACTAGAACTGATGAATCCAAGTCAGCTTTCAGAGGTCATCCCCACGTCCCTCCTCACGGATCCTCTTCCTTCCTGTTAGGCTCTTCCTCCCTCCTTCTTAGACGGTGCCAGCACCTTCCCTTTTCTTTACCTCTTTCCTTCTCCTTTATTGAGCATCAGACAAAACAGCAGCAAAACAAAAACAAAAACAAAAAAAACACAAAACAAAACAAACAAAAACACCTAGACACCGAGAAGAAAAAAAACCTTGGCATAAAAAGATAGTTAATAAGAAGATAATTTTTTTTTAAAAAAAGCAGTGTGCATCAGGGGACAATATGGCACATTCTTTTAAAATGCTATTTTGTTTACGCACACACCGTGGCTCCTTAGATCTAAAAAGAAAGTTGATTCTCTCAGAGAACAAAAATCCCACTGAGTGAAAAATTGTAAATGTCTCAGGAGGAACTACAGAATTTTATTGAGGCAAATTCTGATTTGCCTAAGAGACGGAAATACGGTCTTCTTCCGGCCGAGACAACAGACCTACTACTGGTGGTTTCCAGGGCTGACTCTGCTGACTTCGGTATAACCAATTAAAAGGGGATAGTCATAAAAAGTGTAGATACCACTGTCAGGCAATAAACTAGACCTTATCGGTGATAGTGGTGCACATTACAAACTTCAAACCCATTCCTCGCTCTAATCCATCAGAAACTTCCTGGCTTTAATAGGCTATAAAGGGCAAGAGCTTTGAAGTCCCTGGGATTAGGATCAGTAATAGACCAACTGAATGAGAAACTAAATGCAGGTGGAACATGCTCTATGCGTCCTGAATTAAAAACAAATCCAATTAATCAAACAGTCCTCAACCCTAGCTGCCGGCCAGCAGATTGCAGGGGTGGCCAAGGCACGGAACAAAGTGATCAAAGATAAACCAAAGGGAACCTCCTCTCACGAGCGTTCACTTGAGGAACGAATTCGAGGCATGGAGAGGGCATGCTTTGCTGACTTTCTCAGTCAGAGGTGAGGCCATCCTCTTTCGGAAGAAGAACACAGTATCAGAGCCAAGATAAGGATGGAGAAAACTAAGGCCTTTTAAACTGAGTTTTCATGTAAACAGATCGGCTGAGAGGGCTGAGAGAAGCTGAGATCTGTTTTCCCAAGGCTGATGGCCTTTGACCCCACTGATTCCAAAGCCCTCGAACACAGTTAGATGGACCACCGTAGAACGAGAACACAAAAATGGAGACAACAGGGGTCACGTAGCCTCAGAAATGGCATTACTGCTGACAAAGCAGGAAAATTCCTTTAAAACAAAAAATGCACATAATTTAGCCATCCATAATGGATCCAGCTGAGCGTTAAACTAACACTCAAACCAGGCCCTTCCTGAACACATTCCCCACTCTTACCTTCTGGAGGGATTTTATTTTGATTATTCCAGACAACTAGCAGCTTGGATAGACTGGGCACCTTGGACACTTCAGTGATGACCCGGAAGAGACTCTCTACTCGGTCGTAGGTGAGGACGATGGCAGTGAAACCTTGAGACTGCGGTGGGATCAACGGGAGGAAGAGTGGGTTGCTTACGCTACCCCACTTCTGCAAGAAAACAGATTTATGTGGGTCAGAGAAGGATCTAGTAACAGTGGGACTCATTTCCTTCCCAATGTCATCAGCAAACCTGAACATGGGAAGTTTGGCAGCTTTTTTCATGACCGATCCAAGAGCTAAGCAACTGTTCAAAGTCTTCCCTTCCTCGAAATTCATACTGACTTTCTTTAATTAACTTTGGCTCAGATACCATTGAAAACAGAGCAGAGAATTTCGGCAGCTGAGGAGATTTCTAGTTAAACATGGCGGATTAAACACATGCATTTATCTCTATGCCCTCCCCAAACCCACTAAAACGAAAGCTAATAAATATAACATACAAATCTACGACGACAATGGAACAGGAGAAGAGCAGTACTAACACGTTTCTGAAAGACTGAAAGAGGCTAGAGAAGGGACGGCCGAGTAGGAGAACGAGAGCTGAAACCTAAGCAGCTACAAAGGGGGAGCCAGCGAGGTTCAAGGGCAAACTGCTGGACCCCACGAAGGCTCAGGCATTAAGCTCAGCGGGTACCTTGTGAGGGTAAGAGGAATGGGAGGACTGGTGAAAACATGCGTAAGGAACAGTGAGGGACCCAGACTCACAAACCTTCCCTTTGTCCAGCCACGCAGCCGCCCCACCCCGGCTGGAGAGGGAGGTTTACTCTCTGAGAAAATGAAGTTCCAGATCTGAAAACACAGACTCAGCTGAGAGGAAAATGCAGGTTAAAACCTATATTCTGAATGATGAGCCCTACGGCCTTCTCCCCGCTGCAGTTCCCAAAATGTTGGCAGCCTTGGCAGCCATGTGCCTAGCTTGCCACTCCATCATCTTACAGTAAAGCCCTCCAGGCAGTGAGCTTGTCCTCACACAAAGAACTTCTGATCAGGTTCTCAGTGCTTCTCTTTTAATTATGAACAGATCCTAGAATCACAGACATTTCAAGAACTTCTTCAGCATGAATGACAGAAACCAAACGAACAAACAGAAAAACAGGACCTCGGAGGAAACAGAGACAAGAGAAGCAGCAGAAGGAAATTAAAACGATGTCAACAATGAATTACATCCTCAGTGAGAGAAGCTTTCTCATCCGTGAAATAAGAATAAATTGCTATTTGTATTTTAAAAGATCTATCAAAGAACAAGAAAGAACTCTCGGACATTAAAACTTGATACCTTAAAATTTTGTAAAAGGCAAGAATGAAAGATAAAGATAACATAATCCAGTCTGGTGAACAAAAAGACAGATGAAAAACAGGATAGGAGAGATAAGAAAATCCAGGAGGTCCAACATCCATCTAATAGGAGATTCGTGAAAAAGTAAACACAGAATATGGAAGAAACGAAGCTACTAAAGAAACTAAATAAGTTCTTAGAACAGAAGATACGACAGACACAAATTTTCACACACAAAGGGCCCAATAAGTAATATGTACGTAGAATTAAAAAAAAAAAAAAAGACAAAAACCAAACCAAAAGACAAAACGGTGAAACAAAACTACCGCCATATCAAAGCACATCACTTCTGAATGCTGAGAATAAAAAATATGAATAAATAGAACGTGTGAATCTAGGTGATAAGCATGAGAGTTCATTGCTGGTTTGTACATTTGAATTTTTTTTTCAAAATGAAGTTTAAAAAGTAATAAAGGAAATTCAATTTCTTTGCTACCATTAAAATATTAAGTGATTTTTAATGCAGCAATATAAGCAAAAATATTTTTGTACTGATAATAGGAAAAGGTTGTTAAAACATTCTTATATTTTAAAACAGCTTTATTGAGATATAATTCATATGCTATACAATCCGCTCATTTAAAGTATACAATGGTTTTTGGTATATTATGTATGGTTTTTAAAAACTTGTGGTGAAATTTAACATGAAATTTGCTATTGTAACCATTTTAAATATATAATTCAGTGGCATTAATTACATTCACATTCATACGTTATTATGTGAAAATACCAGGACCTAACTTATCTCTGCCAGAAGGTAGGTGAATATGAAATATCCTACCTGTTATGCTGGCTGCTTACACTTCCCTAGTGTCTTTACTGCTTACACTTCCCTAGTGTCTTTACACTTCCCTAGTGTCTAATACTCTGGGATTCCCGAGGTCCCCCATCAACCTCATCCATATCACTGATGGATACCCGTCACCACATACATGACAACAGCTGTTTGCCAGATGTAACAGTGTGGGACAGGAAATGTACACAAACACATGGAATACACATGGGATGGGAACTCAAGGAGACCGAATGGTTTTCCTGGAGTCCTAATGTAATCAGGATATTAAAGCCAAAATGTCCCTAACAGGCCACAATTAGATTTCACAGCCAAGAGACACCGTGGGAAGGCTATCTTGTCAAAGCCGAGTCTCCATTTCCATGACGTCACACTTTGACATTAAGCTGCAGTCTCAGGGAGATGCCTATATTTCAGTATTTGTACCCTAATATCTGATACATTTGTAGGACCATGTTTTAGTTTGCTACCCCAGATCTTATTCTTATCCTCCTGACTTTTATGGAAATTGAAGTCAATAAGTAGCCCTGTGCTTAAATCACAATGAATCCCTAAGGGGTCTCTCTGCCATCACCATCCCAACCCACTCAACTACTCCTCCTGACACAATACTCTCTCATGCTTCAAAAATACCATTTAAATGGAAAAGCAACCAAAAAGATTTTTAAAAGAAGTGTGTTAAATAATTTAATGTGTAATATTGAAACCATCGAGATTTACTGAGTACATACTTTCTAAGCATCAGGTGCTATGCTTTACATTTATTATGTCATCTCAGCCTTACGATGACCCGCAAGACAGATACAGTCATTATTCTCATTTTACAGATGATGAAACTATAGAATTAAAAACAGTGAATGATGTCTTATCATTTCTTTAGCAGTCAAAAGAAAGAAAGGGAAAAGAAGGAAGGGGAGAGAGGGAGGGAGAAAGAGAAGGCAGGAGGGAAGGGAATGAGAGAGAGAGGAAGATAGAGAAAGATGTTCAAGGTCACATAACCTGTAGGTGACAGAGTGGGAAGCAGCCCCTGCTGTCGACTACAGAACACCAGGTGGTGATTGATGGTTCACGGCCCTTCTCCACACCCTCCTGCTCCAAGGCTGGGGTAAGCATCACCATTTTATAGATTTTGGAAACTGGAACTTGGGTAACTCCAGAGTTCATTATTTCTAGCTCTTCTCTGAGACAAAAATGCTGAAAGTTATTTCTCTTTGACAATTAAATCTATGCCAATAAGCAAGAGCCCATCCCACAACTGTGATTTCAGAGGGTTGATGGAATAAAAACACACCAAATATATAATACTGACACAAAAGGAGCATATAAATTTAAAAAGGTAAATACATCTCTAATACAGAAGGAAAAACTATTAAAACTCCAACAAAATAAGGTCTGTTCTTCAGGAGAAGCGGGAAACTGTCAACACATTTGAATGCCTTTGTGACATTAAAAGGAAGGAAAGTTCCCTGAGAGACGCAAAGCTTACTTTCAGAAAATGAACCCCTTAGAGTTTACACTGAGGCGCCCCCCCCGCCGCCCGAAAAGCACTATAGCTCTGATTTCAAGGCCCTGCTAGGCAGAAGGAACTGGGGTCTTTGGCAAGTGACAGACCTGGTCTCATCTCGTATGCTAGCCCCCTTTGGGAAGGGAATGATTATGAGAGGGGAGGAGAGGAAGTAATGGGTGGGTGGGAGGCAGACAGTAACTCATTTTGGTGTTCAATTTTTCCACACTACTCATTTGCATACCAAATAAAGCTTGCAAACTGGAGAAGCAGAAAAGGCTGCACACTGGGGAGACAGAGCACGTCAAGGAGCAGAACAGGGCTGCAGCCTTGCCAACGCTTTCCAATAAAACACAGATGCTGAGGTGAACACGGAGGCGACATAAGCTACTGAGCATATTATTATGATATAGGCTCGATGCTTTACTTTAGGATCCACAACAAGGGATGATGCAGATGACTTCAAAAAGTGAGTGAGCGTGTTTGGAATCAGTTTTGAAAAAGTGAGTCCTTAATCTGAATCCGAGTTCTTTCACTTCCCAGCGGTACAACTCTGACAAAGTACTTAACCTCTCTTGCACCTCGGTTTCCGTACCTATAAAATCACGATACTACTACTACTTTTCGAGGGGGTTTGACTTGACATAATAATTACTTAATTATTAACATTTCTTAATTATTATTTAACAACCCAGAGGTTGTTAACAAAAGTAAATAGGTAATAAATTTAAAGTACCTGACGTGTACAAGCATTCAATAAGTGACAGCCAACAGTGGATCATGTGGGAGGAACAATTTCTCTGGGCTTTATTTTCTGCATGTTTCAAAAGTGGGCTGGAGTAGCCTAAGCAGTGAAGCCTCTTCCAGCACCAAGAATTCTAAATGACATCCTTCTCCCTCTCTGCTTCTACTTTATCATGCTTTAGGGTTCTGCTTTACCTGGCTTCTCTACCTGTACTTCTCCAGATATACTGTTTTTATTTACAACTTTCTCTTTTCCTTCTGATTTATATGTTAACTGTCTTGAAAGCTCCATGAAAGCAGGA